AAAGGCAACTTTTCTCCATCTAGGAGTGTTTCTTTGACTTCTGCTGCGGTGTCTGAATAAACAAGTTTTCTGTGCAAATATCGAGTACAGCTGAAGTGTACCGAATTAGCTTCTTGTTATTCATATAAACAGTACAGTCAGAAGTATTTTCGACTTCACACTGTAATGAAGCGTATACAAATATCGTGTATACGCCACGTAGGGGATCCATCTTATTAAACCCTAAAAAGTAGTGTAATTTAAATTTCTCATCAAGTATAACGTAAGTATCATACTTTTGAAAAAAAATGTTTGTGTCTCAAAACAATATGATAAAGAGAAACTGGTTAAACAGACTATATAGAATTAAATCAATGTAAAAAGCGAAACATTCATATTATGTTTCTCGATGTAAAAGAAAAGAAATACCCAAAAACGTGTATTCGTTTCTATACGTTCACTTCAAATATATTTGACTCAGACATGGGCCTACACGTTATCACTGTCAGCTGTTTTGTAGATAAATAGTCTGTGTGTAGTTTTAGTGTTCTATTTAAAAAATTCACCTATCGGTGATATGTCAACAAAAAATCTTTTACTCGAATCTCGGTCATACGTCTATAAGTCGTACGACGTTATTTGTCGAACTATTTCCGACAGAATAGCAGAATAGAAATGGGTGTATCACTGCACAATCAACAGCATGATAGAATAGAATCTATTGTCGTAAAATTGAACAGCGGTCAATGGCATGATATATTCTTTAGGAGTCACTCGTTCATCGTAGAATGTAATCTTGATTCTATACAATAGAGTCATGCGGGACAAACTTTTCTGTTGCCCCGAGCCCGGAAGCCCGAACCTGAACATCACAATTTTTGTCCCGTCCCGTAAGCCCGAGCCCGAGCCCGTGACCAAATAATGTTCTCCCGAACCCGACAGTCCCGTTAAAAAACATTATGGGCTTTTTTGCCCCGTCCCGTTTGTCCCGTAATTTTTTGGAAAAGTTTTTCTGCTGCGATAAACCGTAACTATTACACGCGACGCTTAAAGTCTCAAACTCAGTTTTGCAAAAAATTCGCATGACAAAATTCAAGCCTAATTTATTTGAGTCTAAACTTAAAAGTTGCAGTATAAAAGAATGCTTTACGTCCACTCACTAGCTCGAAATCGAAAGGAAAGAACAGTAAACCTAATTTTAGATATGGAACATCTTCTCAAGTTTAAATCCGGATTATTTCGCCTCTCCAGGTTAATTTTTATTAATTATTGTAAAATTATGGTTTTGACTTGACAGTACTGGTTGGCCCAGAATAAATGGCCCTCCTTGTATTTTGCTTATAATTTCTTTTCTTTTCAATCCTTAGACCTGAACGTTTTTCTAAAAAATGCGCTGTCAAATTTTCTACAAGACTTGATCAAACTTATTTCTATAACAAGTTAAGGAGAAAAATGAAATGAGGAATACTCAACACGATGAAAAGGACCAACTGTCTAAGCTAGGTATGCACCGGTATTCATACCGAAATACCGAAAATCAATGAAAAATCAAAAAAATTTCAAGTCAAAAAAAAGTCGGTATTTTCGATATACCGATACCGGTGCATACCTAGTCTAAGCTGAAATAACGTTTTGTTCCACCACTTTCATTGAGTTGAATGATGGAAGGAAGAGAATACACGCATTTTGTAGCCATTGAAAAGCTCTATCAACCAGTATTAGATGCACAATGCAAAATCAATCTTGCACCAAGATAGCACCTTTTTAGCTCGGTCTTTTTTTATTTTGATGAGAAATGATACCTGTGCCAGATTGAGCTGTGAAAGTTACCTTGAAGCTTTCTTCATAAACTCACCTGCGGAGCAATAGCAGATTTTGGTCACCTTGAGGTGAATTTTGGAATGTCAGATTTTTCAGTGCTCACTTAGATTTGAACGAACTGTGAACTGCATAAGGAGAAAGAGCGCACTTTAAAGTACTCAAAAATACCTTCAGTTTAGTTTCATTGTCTTTAGCCTTGTGTAAAATATTCCAAAATTTGTAAAACAAAATAGCGTAGAAAGTTGGTCCTTTCGTCATGTTGAATATTTTTCGTTTCATCTGTCTCCTTAACTTGTTATAGAAATAAGTTTGATCAAGTCTTGCAGAGAATTTGACGGCGCATCTTTTGAAAGAACGACCAGGTCTAAGGACTGAAAAGAAAAAAAATTATAAGCAAAATATGAGGAGGGTCATTTATTCTGGATCACCCGATATTACAAGAATTAATATTTGAAGTTGCAGTATAATTACAATCAAAAGACAAAACTTACGGGACAACATTTTTCTGCAGCTTGTCCCGACCCCGTGAAATGTTTTTCTTGTCCTCAGCCCATGAGCCCAAGCCCGTAATGTTTTTTTGTCCCAACCTCGTCTGTCCCACGGGACGGGCAGACGGGATGGGATTCGAGGCTGCCGCAGAAGTCTACTATACAAGCTGTGGGACGGGTGTCTACAAATGCAGGATTCAAAATACAAAGTTAAGAGTCAACATAATTAAGAGTGGCCCCTTCTTCATTTTTTCGTCTTATTAGAATAAATTTTCATTTTAGAGTTAAATATGGTATATTATAGAGCGAGATGTCCTCGGTAAAACAAGACCTGTCGTTGAGAAAATGTGACTTTTTTAGATTTTGCCGCATCACATTGAAAAATTATTTGCTTCTCCATTCGGTACTTGCAAACTTGTCAAATAGTCAGTCTTGGAGAAAAGAGAGTTCTGTACAACATGAAATGTTTCCTAGTTTCCCGCAAAATTCTTTCTTCAAAAGTTATAAGCACTTTGTCAAAGGTCCTACAAAAAAGTGACTTTTGTAATACAACGTTCGTGGTTTAAATTTTGATTCTGCCTAGCCGGGTGATATTGGAAACCCCTAAAAGTTTATTCAATCGAACTTAAAAATTTATCACAAATGCCTGAGACTATATTTAAACTTCAATCTTTTTTTCATTTTTCAACTTTTCCTTCTCGAGTTATATGGAGTTTATATTGTTTCGAGTATGTGTGATAAACTTTCGAGCTCGATCGGGAAAAATGTGAAGAGATCGTGGTATAACTAGGTTAAAAGCTGAATTTCTAGAAAAATATGTTCTAAACTTTGTTAGTCTACAGCAAAAATACATCGACTTTCTAATTTGGTATTCTATTTCAGACGTAAATTTGGGCTTAATCGTTGTTGCTCGTAATATTTTAATAGAATTTTGTGTCAGAGTTGACGGAACGTTCCCAGACAGGGTAAGATTCATGGTAAGGCAACAGTGACTTTAGAAAGTTTTTCGAGAACATGCAATTTTCCGTGAAAGTTTTCGTAGCAAGAGCAAACATGAATCCAAGCTGCTTTTACTCAGACTCCAAAAACGTGACATTGCCAGCAAAAAGGCCAAAAGAGGGAAAACGTATGCGCCAGGCTAATCAAAGCAAAGCATATTTGTTTGAAAAACGTGGCATATCTATATAATTAAAGGACTACGCCGCCATTTTGAACAAAATACTTTACATTTCGACGTTTCTTGGCGCTCCTGATGCAAAAGTTAGTATTTGATCCCGATCTAGTCCTCTGTCCTCACCACACATATTTCATGTTAGTCTCTGCATTTAAGATTACTGGAAAAAAACGAAGTTTAATTCGTGCAGCGAAACTTTTTTCGTCTTTTCTTCTGATATATAAGATCTTTCTGCCAATGTAGCTACGTTTTATCCAAATAACATAGTGCTAAATTCAAAATCCCATATCAAAACGGGGTAGGGCTCAGCCTAACAGAGCCAAATCCGGGTAAGGTTTAAGTCTTACCCAGCCTAGTGGTTCCACCACCTCTGTTTTGTGTCATATTCACCTAATGTTGATGTCTCAACATATTCTGTCAATGTTTGATCAAGTAATTGATCATCTTCATTTTGTGATAGATCTAAATAGAAGAAGAAAAACGATATTCTTTTGAATTTGATTGAATCGTTAAGTTCAATATATTCTCAGAGACAGAATGGTACAGGTCAGATCCAGGTCATATGTCCAGACCTGACCTAGCAAAAGCGGACTTGGACCTGCAAGACCTGGACTTTGACCTGAACCGGTACTTGTGACCTAAAGCCTTATAGCTGTATTTAAATGTGTATATGTGATACATAATTACATAGATCATAGAAAACATCCGCAGTTTGCTACACGAATGATTGAGTCATGAAATCTACGCGAATATAATATTTCTCTAAATCTAGCTCAATGTTTATATTTTCAGTTAACATGATAAAACACATAAAATAATATAGTTATGTCTGCGAATATTTCGGTTAAATATGAGGATATATGACGTTTGACGTAAGGTGCAGGCAATTCAAACTTCAAGTAAAATTTTTTTTGCCGTTTTTTTTACATCATTTGATAGAGTGAGAGTTGCTGATCACGAAAAACAACTTTTTACCTTACACAAATATCTTTTTCAGGTCGGAAAATACGAAAAAATCGAAGTATGTC